CGCTTTCTGTCTAGAATTCTTCACGGTTTCTTAGATGAGGCATGATTCTTTTGCTACGATTTTCTTTCTATAGTCTAGTACGCAATGTGTGTATAAAATACGATGTCCCGATGTACCATACGCACTGGAATATACACATGATCACAACTACTCTCCCATCAATCTGGTTTTGCTTTGGTATTCAATGCTTGATTATAGAGGAGGGGCCAGGTTCATAGGAGAATGCGTGGCGAGCGAAGGATTTGCTGCTAGGAGAGATGTAGACATAAATAACATCATCACCTGCGTGGGGTCTGAAGAAGCTCAACAGCAGCAGCACTCACATTAAGTGATATTTCTGGCAAAATGCATTAGCAGAAACAGATGTCTGCTAAGTATGCTCGATCCAAGATTAAACCGTCAATTGATCCATGGATCTCTATTTAACCCATGTTCTCAGAACAGCATGTGCTCCATGCATGTTTTGAACAAGCAAGTTCTTGTGAAGCGTGTGCCCAAAGTGGCCCGTTGATTGATGTAGTCTTGTGTCACACCAGACCTAGAATACCAAAAAAGCCGCGTTCACCCGCGCCGCAAATTATAGACATGCCTGCCTGCTAAACCTTGTAGAAACAGAATGCAGTGTAGAAGCTCGCAGCTTCCATCTCCTCCGGCGATACCAGCAACCTTCCGGCCCCGCGCTCCCGTACACCCATGCGCTCGCTCAAAGGGCCGAGCACCTCATCATCCTTCTCCGACTCCCAAATCTCCATGAAAGTCTTGTGGTACTGCAACTCCAGGTTGTAATCCTCAGCGAGGGCTCTGAGAACTTCCCAAGGCACCACATACTCGGGGACTTCTTCGACGGCTTCGTCGAGGAAGAAGTTGTACTTCCATCCAAAAGCAGGCCGGAAGACACCATCCTCAGGGGTCTTGCCAGGGAAGCGTACCCGGTAGATGGAGTTGCCCCATTCCGCAGATTGCTCTGCTTCTCCGTCCTCCAGTTCGCCTTCTTCCGGGTCCGCAGGCGGCTCCTCGGCAGCCTGCTTCTTCTTCTCTTCCGCCTTTTGATTGAACTCTCGCACGCGCTCTCCCAGAACGTCAGAGTTGGGGATGCAGCCGATCAAGCGACCTCCCTTCTTCAGCGAACCGGCTACGTTGCGAAGCATCATGCGGGCCTTCTGTTCCGTCTCGAAAGCGTAGTGCATGCAGAACATCATGCTGACGACGTCGAAGCCGCGACGGCTGAGAGGGTTGGTGTCGAAGCCGACCTGTCGAACGATTTCAATGTCCTCAACAGACTCGCCGTAGCAATCCTTGACCTGGAAGCGTGCCTCAAACAGCCTGGAAGACCGCCTGTACCCACCCCTTCCGCCTCTACCACCACCTCCACGACTTGCCATCTGGCGATAACGTTCTCTAGCTTGGTCGATACTGATGTCTGCGGGATCAAGACCGACGTAGAGCTCAACGGGCTGCGGCGCTTGCTGCCACTTGCCCAGATCACCTCCCTTTCCACAGCCAATATCGAGAACGAGGAGCTGGTTTTCTGTTGTTACGCCCTGCTCCCGAGAGCCAGGGGTGTGGTCTTCGTCCGGAGAGAATTTTTGGATGATGCAGCTCTTGATCCAGTTGTTGAAAGCGCGGAGCCCCTTGATCTTGCTGTCGGTACGTCTCCAGTCTCTGCCGCGCTCAGGGACACTGTTGTAGTGCTGAGTTACGACGTCGTTGATGTTGCGCTGGCGCTCGCTTTCGGCTTGGGCATGAGCTTGGGCTTCCAAAGCCTTCTCGCGGTCGAGGGCTCTTTGGCGGATGGCTTCTCTCTCTGCTTCGGAGATGCGAGCGCGAGCGCCGGGTCTCTTCTGCTTGCGCGGCTGCTCGGAAGGCGAGACCGCTCGTCTCTTGGCCGGTTGCAGTTCCTTCGCATTGTAGGGTTGAGGGAGTTGATCATTCTCGTCTTCACGTCTCTTGCCTTTCTTGGCCGGGGATTGGGATCGCTTGCGCTTTCGCGCGTCGTAGGATTCGTCGTCGTCGTAGCCTGCCATTGTATCGATTGGAGAGTAGAAGTATTTCCGGAATAAAGTCTTGCAGATCACCTCGAAGCCAAGGCTTCTGAAATGAGAATTGAAAGGGTGAAAGTCTTGTTGCTGTTAATGGCCGTCGAGGAAGAAGCTGAAAGATCATGGGCGCGCGGAACACTGAATGGTGCCAGGGTGAGGCGCGGGCCCCACTAAATGGTTGGCTCAGCTCACGGCAGGTGTGGCGCTTAGAAGCAGCAGGTGCTGTTCAATCGCTCTTTCCAATCTGGACTGGAAATAATCCAAGTGGGATTCCCACGTTTTTAGAAAAATATTCAAAAGGATATGCATGATGAGTCTTCCATCTGAAGGCTTTAAATGAGAAGAAGGAGCTTTCTGCGACATTTGCGCTTGCTTCTATTGTGATGCGGGTTGATGCTAGGTACCCAGGTAGGCAGGCCCAATACGTGTCGCACTGCAGCCTTGCTGGATTTACTAAGCTCACTCCCGCCAGCGGGCCAATCACGTCAGAGTCTGACCGGCCGCTTGCGGTTTGCAGGGAAGCTCCAGCTCCAAACACCTCCAAACAACGACATCACTCTTGCTCACCCGGTACCCAATTCCACGACCTCAACTTGCTCTCCCCGACCTCGAACGCCCGATTTTCCTTCTCTTTCAAAGTCCGCCGTCGTGAGATAAACCGCAAAGATGGGCTCAGATCCCCAGTACGCAAAGTACCCCCTCCTCCCCCTCGCCCAACATGTCTTCACCCTCACAAACGCCTACGCCTCCCGGCCATCTCAACAAAACGCCGCGAAAGCTCTCAACGATGCCATCACCGAGCACAAGATGGCACCGCTCTACCGGTACCTTGCCCATCCCCTCGAGGGCATCCTGAACCAGCTCGGTGAGGGCGGCAGCCAGACACCCGGCAAGCCACTGAGTAGGAAGTCGAGTTTGGCCGGCATGATCGCCACCAAGAGCGTCCCCACCGCCGTCAACCTGCCCTGGGACGAGGGTCGTTACCAGGAGCTGAAGGCCGATAACGACCGGGAGTTGGAGGAGTTCCAGAAGGAGGAGGACGAGGCTGTCGAGAAGGCCGGTGAGACGGAAATCCAGGCCGCGCGGGGGAAGCGGGCGGAGTTCTGGGCCAGAGTTGGTGACAAGGTGTGTTACGTTCTTCGATGAATTAATGACGCGCCGCTGATAATCCTGGACAGGACCGGGCGATTGCCGCATACGAGGACGTTTTCGAGAAGACGGGTATCCTGGGCACCAAGATCGACCTGGTGCTCGCAATAGTCCGAATGGGTCTCTTCTACGGCGACAAGCTGCTTGTCAAGAAGCACATCGAGCGCGCAAAGACCCTTGTCGAGTCCGGCGGTGACTGGGACCGTCGCAACCGCCTCAAGGCTTACGAGGGTATCTACTCTCTGACCGTGCGATCCTACAACAGCGCCGCTCCCCTGCTGCTCGACAGCTTGTCTACTTTCACCAGCTACGAACTCTGCACCTACTCCTCCCTCGTCGTCTACTCCGTTCTCGCGGGATCTGTCTCCCTGAAGCGTGTCGACTTCAAGAGCAAGGTCGTCGATGCCCCCGAGATCAAGGCTATCCTTGGTGATGGAGAGGACAAGCTTCTTGCTTTGTCAGGTGCTCTCAGTGCCGGCCCCGGCGCCGACGACACCATGCAGGACGCCCCGGCGCCTTCTGCTGCCACCAAGACGGCTGTCAACCTGACCACCCTCGGAACGAGCACCGAACAGCCCGAGGCCGAGATGGCCATCGACTTCTCCCCCCTGGCCCAGCTGGTCACGAGCCTGTACAACGGCCAGTACAAGTACTTCTTCCAGGCCCTCGCCCAGGTCGAGGAGAACTTCCTCACGCAGGACCGCTACCTGCACGAGCACAAGAACTGGTTCATCCGCGAGATGCGCCTGCGCGCATACCAGCAGCTCCTCCAGAGCTACCGCGTGGTTGGCTTGGAGACGATGGCTACCGACTTTGGTGTCACCGTCGACTTCCTTGACCGGTATGTTTTGTCGCACGCGGATCTTTGTTCGACACAATGCTAACATCTCTTACAGTGACCTCGCCAAGTTCATCGCCGCCGGCCGCATCCCCTGCACAATCGACCGCGTCAGCGGCAAGGGCGTCATCGAGACCAACCGACCAGACGACAAGAACAAGCAGTACCAGGACGTTGTCCGCCAGGGCGATCAGCTCATCACCAAGCTTCAGAAGTACGGCCAGGCTGTGCGCCTAAGGGGCAGTGAGCGTGCATAATTGCGCAGGGGACGTGGATGCTGAGAGGATATTGCCGATGAGAGCCGCAGGTCCTTTTTTTACCCAATTTGACCATCAAGGTCGGTAAGGCGCAGAGGTAGAAATCGCGGCGGCGAATAGAACAAGGGGTGAGCAAATGTGTGCTACTACGATAACTCTGTATGATACCTACGGATAGACGGGCCAATATGAGCAATCTTGGCTTCGCCACTGTGTCCTGGTGCTTTGTGACATGTGTGCTTGTCCCAACTAGACGTGATTTCTGCGAGAGTAGCTTCCCCGGAGGCAAAGTATGGAGCGGGATATGTTCTATTCTCGCAAGCTATGCTGAAAGGCGTCATGAACCATGAAATCACCCCATAAATGTCCCCTGATATGCGAAACGATGCGCCAAAAAGGCAAGACGGCCTCCCTGTCTTTCTCCAAATCATAGCGTGCAAATCATTCTCTTTTTTTCTTGGTATTTGAACCCTCATCTGTCAAACCATCGTCCAATGGACTGTCTGTCTACGACGTACTTCTAATAAGCACGCGCTCAATGTTCCCAAAAGAAATCATTGGCCCAAGCCGCGCTCGCTGATATGCTTTTGCTGCAAGATCGTCTCATCCAATAAAGCGGCTGGCCCTTCCTCGCACCTCCCCCCCTATTTAACCCTTCGCCCGTAAATGGTCGTCAAAAAAACACAGGTTTCGTAAGATGCTCACGCACAAACGCGCTTATTTGTACTGCGCAACAAACTCCTTGTGGAACTTGATGATGCGGCCGACCCAGTCGGTGCCGGGGGCGAGGAAGGTGGTGCGGAAGTGCAGGGTGCCCTCCTTCTGGCCGAAGCCGCTGCCGGGGACGACGCAGACGCCGGTGGCCTCGAGCATGCGCATGCAGTAGAACTCGTCGGCGGTGCGGCCCTCCTTCGCGGCGGCCTCGGCGGCCTTGGCGGGCAGCTTGATGGTGGGGAAGAGGTACATGGAGCCCTGGGGCTCGCCGCACTCGACGCCCTCCATCTGGTCGAAGGCCTTGTGCAGCGCGGTGGCGCGCTCCTTGAGGCCGTTGAAGATGCCGTCGTACTCCTTGCGGTACAGCTCGTAGCTGGGCTCGCCCTCCTTGGGGGGGTTGACCATGAGTTCGACGATGCACTGGCCGATGACGGGGGCGCAGAGGGTGATGGAGACGAACTTGTAGATGTTGGCCTCGACCTCGGGGTCGAAGTTGACGAGCTCGAAGTAGCCGCCGCGGTGGCCGCACTCGCCGACCATGCCCTTGGAGATGGAGTGGAGGGAGGCGAGCTCGACGCCGTCGTACTTGCCGGGGGTCTCCTTCTGCAGCCTGCGCAGAACGGACTTGAAGGAGTGGAACTTGCCGACGAAGACGTTGGTCTGGTAGACCTCGTCGGCCATGACGACGAGGTTCTTCTCGGCGGCGAAGTCGTAGACGGCGCGGATGTCCTCCTCGGAGAGGGACGCGCCGGTGGGGTTGCCCGGGTTGATGATGACGATCGCGCGGACATCGGTGCCCTCGCTGGTGGCCTTCTCGTAGGCGGCCTTGATGGTGGCGACGTCGGTACCCCAGCCGGAAGCCTCGTCAAGGTAGTAAGGCACGCAGGTGGCGTTCAGAACGGAGAGGGTGGCAGTGTAGAGAGGGTACTGGGGAATGGGGACGAGGACACCGGTTGTCGGACCGGAGCAGATGATGTGCAGAAGGGTGTTGACGCCGGAGGAGGCACCGCCGGAGAGGTAGAGGTGGGCGGGATCGGCGGGGAACCCGTCGCGGCCTGCAGGAGAAATCTTTGTCAGTTATCATGTCTCCGACATGAAATTCAGTCACAAAACTCACGCTCAATAAACTGAGCAATGCTCTCCTTGATCGCGGGGACACCAGCGCTGGCACTGTAGGCGCCGACAGAGCCGACCTTGCTGAGGAGCCATTTGGCGCGGGTGATGACGTCGGACTTGTATCCGAGCTGGTTCAGCAGGACATCCTCGTGCTCGAGCAGCAGAGGGTTCTCGAGGAGGGAGACGACCTGGCGGAAGAAGGTGATGGGCTTCTGGTCGAGCTGCTGGGGGTTGCCGATGTTGGCCGAGATGACGGCGTCAAAGGGCAGGTCCTTGTCGCCCTTGGCCAGCTTCGCGCGGTACTCCTCCGACTTCACGGCGAGCTCGCCACGGACGGCGTACTTTGCGGCGACAACATGCTGGTTGATGTTGTCGGCGTTCAACCGACGAGTGGGCGTGGAAGACATGGTTCGATGGTGGGGTGACGAACGAATGTTTCTGCTGCTCGAGAAAAGTTGCGCTCGGGATGGCGGGGTATTGGAGAGGAAGATCTTAGGGGACCGCGGGGTATCTATGTTAGAGTCATATAAAAGTTAGATAAAGGGCTTCTACCACGGTAACTGTGGAGATTTGATAGCGAGAGGAAAACACCTTATGGCTACAACCCGGCAATAAGCGGAGCAAAAGTAAAGAGACGATGTGCAGATGTGAAGAACAAACAGACCAAATTTTGAAGGAGGTCTTTAAGAAAGCTGGTGTGCAGCCACACTAATAGCTTTTTATTGTCCTCCTCCTGTTCTTCAACGAGGGGGAGAGGCAAGCAGTAACCCCCGACACCGAGCTTGGACGCGGGGGAGCTACCTACTACACCGGATGGACACCCGATGGACGGTTCTCTTCTGTGTTATTGATGGAATAAACGGGCAGAAGGAAGAGACAAGGCAAAATGGCCAAAAATCAGCGCACTTCCCTCCCGTCATCGTCCGATGCAAGACATTGATCTTATTCAATGTCTTCAGGGAGAGCCATGGGCAAGCTAGTCGGGCTTCCAATTAGGGACTGTGACACTGGGCCACGAGACACAGCCCTGCATCATGGAAAAGACCGGCGGGTTGAGTTGGACCTCTGACGGGACTCTTGTGTGTGGGAGTGTTTGCCCCTCCTTGGCCATTCCCGGCAACGCCAGCACTTGCTGGCTAGTCGCGCGTTCCCGACGGCAGACGAAGACGTGGATCAGACCCGGCAGTGGTTTGGTATGGTTTGGTTTTGCTTGCCTCGCCTTCGGGCTTGGGTTGCTTCAAAGGCCTGTGTCGGCCTGTGTCCGAAACCGGTGATCGGTGTGACCAGGGCCCAGCCAGGCCTGGGTCTTCAGTCTTGACTGGAAGTCCTAGCGGCTTCCGTGAGGGCATTTCAAGATGGCAAGCAACCAGTGGCCGAGGGGGAGGAAGATGTGGGGTTCCACGTGGGGTCCATGGCCTTGGATCGGGACTTGATCGTTGATCAAGAATACATTGTTTGCGCAGTGAAGGGATGGTCTGCAGATGGCGTCTAAAAAGACAGAAAAAAACGGGGTGCAACTCCTTCAGCTCGGGGGAAGCCGCGCTGGAGAGCCCCGAGCTGAAGCTCCCGTCCAGTCTCTCTTGCTAATGTTTCCGCCGCCTGGCTTCTCCCGAAGCTGCGAGCGAGCTGCAAGCTCTTTGCACTGGCCAACCATGCAGCACCGGTAGCACCAACGGGCAGCCCAGGGTTGGGACTTGGAGGAAACAAATATAAAAAGATGAAGCAGATCGACAAACAGGAATGGACAGAAAGAAAGAAAAATGTGGAGAGCTTCAACTTCAGCTTCAATCACATTGCAACGTACCGTTTGATCTGTGACTGCTCATCAGTCTGACTTGGCCTGCCGCCGCAACGACCTGTTTCCCTGGCGCTCCCAGCGACCTTGCTGTGCCGCCAGCCACCCTCCGCGCCGCTACAGTCGAGCTCATCGCGACAATCGCTTTCGGAAGCGGCTTGTGAGCTCTGTACCGCTGGAATGTCGACACTGGATGTCGCGTTTGGTGTACAGCCGTTTGCAATCGTTCGGAACACGCTTGAAGTCGAAATAAGGCGACTGGCAAAAGTCTAATGAATAAAGAATATTCGCGGGGAAACTGCGTTCGTTCGCTGCGGCTGAGACGACCAAATATCTGATTCCCCCGCGCGTTGTCTACAAAGAAGAAAGCATAGAAAAGAAAAAGAGTCAAAAACGGAGATTGTGCATCCTAACGCTGGAAGCAGGCAAGACAAGAGGGACGTCCGTTGCCCTTTATTTGCCCGTAGTCGCTCACCCATTTCCCATCACACCTACTCTACCTGCCCTTACTCCTCCTCCCCGGTACCTTACCTTCGTTGAGAGACACCACCAGCAGGTCCAGACATCTGCGAGATAAACCTACCTTCCTGGCACACTGGTTTTGCCAGGCTGGGTCGCCGACCTGCCCGCCGGCCCAGTCGGGGGTCCTCGCGATAAACCGCCCTTAACTGCGGGCTTGACTCCGAATGGAAAGCTGGGGGTGTGGCATGCAGGGAAGGTCGCGCAAACACTGCCAAAACGGCCTGAACACACACTTCTCTCTCACCGCACCAAGGCCACGCGAGCTACCGTACAGAATAAGCCCAAATGTGGACGTGGTAATTGGTTGTCAGATAGATGTAGGCTCAGCAGATGGATGTGTATCCTGCAGGAATATACGCGAGAGAGCACCCCAAGGACATGATCAACCCGTCTTGTGCCAACATTGAAAGCGAAGCTCACGCATTGCAAGTCTTTACGGATGCCTCCATGAGGATGCCGCCGTCCGAACACACCGGTGCGGCGGGCGACGGCCCCTTCGATGCTAGGACCCTGCAAGCTCTGCCAAAAGTTCCAGGTCCCGGGTGAGCTATTGATGGAAAGGCTCCATCGACATCTGCAGAGACCCTGAAGGTCCACCGCCCACCTGCCTCCGTTACTCGGATTCCAGACTCAAACGTGCTTCGGCGACTGGTGAATTCGGCCGTGATGTTTGGCGCCGTGTCCCGCCGCATCTTCGCACCCCGTCAAGTCGCCATTCTGATGCCGCGTCTCACCCCTCTTTGCTTGGCTCCTATGAGAAGGGTCACTTGATTCGCATCGTGCCACAAAGTCAATCATCCATAAAAGGTACCGAATATTTGTAGGTAGAGAGATATAATTAGTTGAGACATTGATGTAGACTTCACCCGCAATCGGGCCGGATGGCCACAGTTGGCCCCAGCTGGGGCGAGAGCGGCTCTAATGTACCTCAAGCAGACCGAGATCTTACCGAAGCTCAACCCACTAAATCTCGGTGAACGGCCCTATTTGCACCGAAAGCTCTCACCACCGCAAAATTCCCGACTCCACGCTCTATCCACGTCCACCTTGGTCGCCAGCAAGCTTCAAGCGCCCATCCCCCGCCACAACCCTCAAGATGGCGAAGAAGAGTTTGTCCTCCTGTGGAAGCCTCCAGAATTAAAGGTTACAATTGCTAAACATCTCGACAGCGAAGTCCCGTATCGCGATCGTCCGGCTCGTGTCCATGGCCGCGACCGGGTTCTTCTACACCTTCAGGCGACCCAGAACGGCTTCACCCATGAGCATGCTGAAATACGATCCGATCGGTACGGCTTCCCCTCGAGCTTTTATGCGCGCTTCCACGTCTGGCGCAGAGCGAGATACAACACTTTGAGTGCAATGTCAAGCTAACACTTCCACAGTCCGTCGGAAGGTGCTGTTCTTGGAGGCAAAGAAAAAGGGCAAATGAGCTATCCGCTTGCCTGAGTCGATTCTACCTGTACCAACAATGATAACATCACAAATGGCGTTCACGGCGGTATGCAATTGGTTTTTGAGGATGTCATGACACGGCCACGCAATGCGCCATCGGATTGCACCCTTTACAGAGCATCAAGGAGGTTAGGAAGTGGCACGGGATACCGAAGCGCAAAGACTCATGATGACATGGGCTTCGATTGCCACGATCTAAGTGCATATTCTACCAAAAGCCACCAAAAAAGTCTTCCACAAATCCCACCAAACTGACTTCGCTTTCTCGATCTGTGCTTGACCTCCAAAAACAATAGCGCCGCCGCAAGTTGCATATCAATGTGGTTCAAAATTTCACCGCCGTAGCAGCGGTTTCTAAGTCTTGACAGGAAGTTTGGAATAAGTTCGGGTAATGTTGCGACGTCCAGTTGAGGACGGGCCATCTTGGGACGACTGAGGAGTCTTGCCCGCAAGTGGTAGTCTTGACTGCGGTTGATGGTCATTCTTCGCCGATGTGCCCGTTTGGAAATGGCGCGACATGGAAGAATTGTCCTGCGACTCGATCGACAGGGCTTCAGTGCTGGCCCTTGTGCTTCGCTCCAAAGCTGAGCCTCCACTAGGCTGTCCGGCGTTCTCCAAGCGATCAGTGAAAACGTCATCGCGATCCCTGGGGTCACTGACGTGTTTGATTCGCTTGGTTTGTCTGTCCAGGGGCGGCTCCGTTCGAACTCGCTTGTTGCCTTTATGCTCTCTGCGGAAATCAAGAAGCTGCGGTCTCGGCAGCTTGCGGCTTTTAAAGGAACTGAACTTGGCGTATGAGATGGTATCTCGACTTCCGACTGGCCGATTATACTCAGTGTGGCCAGAGTGAGTAGAGAGAGCACGTTCCCGGGCCGACTCAGCAGTATTTGTAGATGCTGCCGTTGGCGTATAGCTCGAGCCTGGTCGAAGAATACTTTTGGGTTGAGACCCCTGACTTGTTGAGTTGTGTCGCTGCGCTCTTTCTTGGGAAACCGAAGGCGCCGCTAATTCGGTGTCTGCTGCCTCAACGGGACTGTTTATCAATATCCTCTTTCGTTGAAGGTCCTCCTCCAAGGTGTCTACACTCTTTTGCTGGCTGTCTTCCTCCAAAATACCATCCGACGAGCTTGAGCTGATTTCGAGAATGTCCTTCCAGTTAATTGGATCTGTGCATGGCACCTCGGGAAGCTCGGGTTCCTCGTCATTATTGCTGGCGTCTGCATTGCCTGGCGCCCCAGAGTGCTGCTGCTCAGTCGAAGCATGACTGTGTTGCTCATCATCGCGCAGACTGTTGCTAGGTTCAGGGGCGCCCGACTTTCCTTTGAAGAGATCCTTCCCGCCGGGTTGCATTTCTTCCATCAGTCTGTGGCACTCTCTGACCATCTTCAGCTGGTCTTCCAATTGTTGGTGTGTAAGGTCATTCGGGTTCGCGGTAGATGATGTTGTTTGTGTCTCGCGGATCTTCATGGTAAGGTTGGTGATCCTCTGTTCGGCAACTTTGAGGTCCTTTTCAGCCCTCTCAAGCTTTTCCTTTTCACGCTTGGAGGTCTCTGCGCTTTCCTCCTGGAGACGAGCCTGTTCGGCGAACAGCTCGTCATGCTTTTGCTTCAGCTTCTGGTGAGCTTGTTGTTCTTTTTTCACCGTCTCCTCCAACTCGCGTTGCTTTTCGTCCGATGCTGCATTGAATTCGCGCTCTGCAGAAGCTGCCTTCTCCGCCGAGGTCTTGAGAAGGTCTTCGGT